TATCTTCTTTAGCTATGCTTACCATTGAAAGGGCATTAATAAAGAAGATAAAAGACTTTAATGAAAAAGTAATTGACCACTTTGCATCTCAAAAAGACCGAAGGATCGACTTGGAATTTATATCACTTTAAAAGGTAGGTAATACAGTAAACTTTTCTAATTGACCTCCCTATCTCTTGACCCACGAACCGCCACTGGTGGTGACTTAATGTCGCTAATAAGTTACACAACTTTAATGCTCCAGAAAATGTCCCGACAACATTACAGGAACTTTAAATACAACAACTTCAATTATCATTACTTTGAAGCGATTCTTTGGTAACGCTGTGCAGTCGGCATTACTACTAATTCTCACTTTAAAGTTGAAAATGCTTTAAAGTAATGCAGAGTAGTATCCGCTACGTTGCACATACTGCAGCAGTTACTTGAAAGTGTATTAACTACCTGAATTCAGTAGAATTTACGTAATTGTTACTACATTTTTTTCTGAGGATTCCGAATTCCAAGTGAAAAACTATTTAACATCAATTAAAAAAAAGTTTTTTATTTAACGTTAATTGTTTTTCTCCTTCTGAATTCGTATTTCTTAGAAAAAAATACATAAGTATAGGTAGTTATGGAATTTTTTACCTAGGTGAAAAATCAAATAATGAAATCGATTGAGGCAAATAAAATGATCACCCTGTACATGAAATATCAAAAACTCATGAAATTGTTAGCCATAATTTATTATAATTTATATTCAGGGAAATAAACTATTGTAAAATAAGACGGCATTAAATGATTTTCAAGTCTCAGAAAGTTGGGTAACATAAAATTTATGGGAAATCCTATTCACATATTATTACAATACAATAATTATCATGACTCGACAATCGACGTATCAAATCCACCAGATGATACGTGCCTACAAGTCTACGGCAAACACACCTCAATCCTTTTAAATTATCGTTCCAATTCTCAATGACGTAAGAGTTAAAACGACGCCTAGCGTCGTCAGCTGTTTCATTCTCGCACCATTTTCATGCGCAAGCGTCCTTCATAATTCAATAACGCTCGACTCATATATACATTGTTTAATTCCAGTGGCTGCCAATCTGCCGGTAGACAGAACGGTGTTAGTGAAGGTAATCAAAAAATGGAAAAATTAGAGAGAGACCGTCTTGGCATGTGGGGAAATGGAGACAATGTTGTCCCAGGAACCGCTAGTGGATTAGATAGGATCAGACATCCGGGTTTAAACAAGGTAGGTAACAATTATGATGACATTGTAATGTAACTTTCCATTAGTTTATCCTGTGTTTTTATCTAGTGTAAAATTATTAACCTCCGAACTAATAATTGCACATATTTGTGTAATTATTGCTTAAATATTATTCATCATAATATAAAATAACTAATCAGTTGCATTTTTTTAGGGCCTCGCGTTTTCTTTAATGGAAAGTAACACAATTTTAATTACATCACGCGTGATTTTTTAAATTTATTTATTGAATAAAATAGTTTTTAAAGCTAAAGTGATTAACTGTTCCGATTTTGTAAGGACAGTTTCTTATTTTTGGCAAGTCGTCTTGATTTTAATGGCGTTCTGATGTCCTGATTTTTACATAACGATTTAGTCCTTATTTTAATAAAATTAAAATTACAGCATTGTGACCTTTCTGTCACCATGCATCTTATTTTAGAAATGGTAATTATTTTCTAAATAAAAGGATGTGATTTGATGAAATTATAATTATTCAATTTTAAAATATTTCTAATTGTCGCTTAAGTTTGTCAGACACAAACACACAAGAAAAAAAAAGTATTTTTCCGTGTTAACAACATTTGTACTTTTGATAAAAAATTAAATCGAATTCCTTTTAATCCGAGGTGGCACGTGGAAAAGAAAAAAATTAAATGTTTTCATCGAAGTCGGCATAAGGTATAAGCAATTAACAAAAACAGTAGTAATTCCTTGTATGATTTTAAGACAAAAAATTCATATAAACATATGTTCTAAACATCTAGGTTTTCGAGATCAGGATGATAGTTTTTTTTTTCATATAGTTTTAATGATAATTCAAATTCAGCGCATATAATACTTTGGACAGTATCCATGAAAAAACGTTATTAACTTTTGAAACAATCTGGGGGTCCTAATTTGTTAGGGGTCATCCCCTCTTTAATCGCCCCAATTTTTTTTTACGAAACTGACTACGTTTGAGAATAAAATCTAATTTACTATTTTGTTCCTACATCTTTCGTTATCGATGTTTTTTATTATTTTGTACGGCTTAGAAGTTATTTGGCATAAAGTTAAATTATGCTTTGTTTTAAGGATATTTTGTTTATATTCATCACATACGTAGGATAATACGTTTAACAGTACCCATGAAGCGACGTTATTAAATTTTAGAACAATTTACAGGGTCCTAATAATTTTTATAAAAATAACAAAATCGACCTCGATGAACAATATTAATTGATTTATTTAATAAAGTAAACAACATGACAGTTGTCAAAACTTGTTATAAAGGTGCATTCTTGTAGTTTTTGATATAGTGCAAGTAACAGATTTATTGAATTTCATTTGGTGAAAATTGTTGAATTCGCAAACTCTGAAATGGCAAACATGCAGTTTGTGTATGGAATGGATCGTGGTAACTAACGCTCGTGCAGTAAGGCGAATGTATCAAGAAAAATATCCTCAACGTCGTGTGCCTAACAAACTTTTATTAATATTCACTCCCGACGTTGTGAAACGGGTAGTTTTAATACGTCTACTGCCTTTGTAATAACATCCAGAACAGTAAGGAGAGTTCAGATAGAGGAAGCTGTCCTTAATGAAAATGAAGAAAATCCTGAAACTAGTACACGAAAAATTGCGGCTTAATTAATCATTAGTCATTACCCATGTATTAGCATGGAAAATTTTAAGAAAACAGCAACTTTATCCTTATTACATACAACGTGTACAAACTCTTTTGCCGAAGTAGTTTCCTCAAGAGGAGAGGAGCTTTTTGTACTTGGATAAGAAATAAATTAGTGATAAATCCAAGGTTTTTATCCCAGGTGTTGTTTACCAATAAGGCATGTTTTTCTCCTAACGTAATAATAAATTTTCACAACAATCATATGTGGCCTGAAGTTACCTACACACTATAATCGAAAAGAATTTCCAAACGCAGTTTTCAGTAAAGGTTTGGTTTGGAATTATTGGGGATTTTCTTATTGGGTCTTATTTTCTGCCTCCCAGGCTTGATGGTAATCAATACCGACAATTTATAGAGTACATCCTACCCGATCTCTTAAAAAATGTCACAAGAAGGTAAATACGTCGAATTTAGTTTATGCATGATGGTGCTCCACCACAACTTAGGTGCGTTTAAGTATTTAGATCAAAATTATTCCTATCGATAGATCGGGCGTGGCGACCACAACCTTGGCCACTCAGATCGCCCGATATTAATCATATAAATTTCTTTCTTTGGGACACCTAAATTCATTAGTCTACAGAACTCCTGTTCAAAATGAAGAAGATTTAAGAAACCAAATACAAGAGTCGTATTATTGAGCGCGCCCGTTAATCGATGATAAAGCGCATAAACGCATGCAATGAAGTCAGGGGTGGCCAGTTCCAGCAGTTACTTTAAAATAAGTGTTGTACCTTTGTTAAATTCTTCTTTAAGTTACTGTAATTTTAGTTTTAATTAGGACTGTAGATTGTTTTAAAAGTTAAGAACTATTAAAAGTATTATACGTGCGTTCTGAATTTGAATAAATTATCTTTAAAACAAAGCATAATTTTATTTTCTGCCAAATAATTTCTAAACCATACAAGATAATGAAAAACATCAAGAGAGCGAAAAGTTTAAGAAAAAAAATGAGGAGCTTAAAGGGGGGACCCAAAAAAATTAGTACTCTGTAAATTGTTTCAAAAGTTAATAACGTTGTTTCGTGGGTACTATAAAAAATATATGTGCTGAATTTAAATTAGGGTGAACTGACCAGTGATTGAACGGTAACCAGTGAATGAACAAAGTTACCTTATTTCGCTTTTATTAAGGCTCTTTTTCGTTAAAATACATTCCCTATCCTTTTTTAACTCGACTACGCATCCAAAGATGAAAATTGTCTTAACTGTTCATTCACTGGTCAATTCACCCTAATTCCGTAAAACTGGATAAGAAAAATTTAAATACTAAAAAAAAATAGAAAAGAAAAAACTTTATCACCCTCTATCTCGAAAGCCTAGACGTTTAAGGCATGTATTTATATGAACTTTTTGTCCTAAAATCATACAAAGAATTACCGGTAAAAGTTTGTCCACGTATTTAATTAACACCCTGTATGTTAAAATCAACCAATTTACAAGGAAAACCTAAATCAACTAGTCCTGAAAATGTCTTTAAATAAAGATGAAACATCGACTATTGGAATTCTGTTTTTTGGCCATTCCAACAATTTACAAAGAACAATATTTAGATGACACATTAAATTTGGTGAATGTGGTACCACCTGAAGAGACACAATGAATGAAAGAAGAAAAAAGGTACAATTTCGGAAAAACTTTAAAAAAAATTTATTGCATTTCTGGCCGAATCTCGACGAATTATAATGAAAAAACATAACTTTATTGAAAAAATCGGTCTGCATGTCTGTAGTATCGCGATAGCAATCACAGTTTTTGAGATAAAGCTTTCAAATTTGGTACACATGTTCTAAAGACAATGACAAATTCGATGATGAGCATGAGCATAATTGGCCAGCTGAAACTTTTTTGTATTTGTCTTTACAAAAAAATATATTCTTGATGAAAGATTATAAATCATGTACTATATCAAGCCAATAAAATATATTTTCCAATTACTTAAATAAAGCTGATGTAAACTAAAAATTTTATACATTTGACCTCATAAAATAGGGTTTAAGATAAATTTAACAGTTTGTTTAAAAGATAGACAGTGGCTAGTCGTGTTCTATAGTCTTGTTATTTTAAAAACGCCACTATACATCCATGCCCCAGTCAGGATTCGAACCCGGGACCCCTTGGTCTCAAGCCTAACGTATATGCTCTGAACCACTGAGCCAATTAAAAAAAAAGAGTTACTAAGAAATGAGCAGGCCCTGTTTTACTGTTTTAAATTACGATATATTGTAGTCCATACTATACCTGATGATACTAACATTTAAAATTGAAAAAGTATTCTCCACTGATTAGATGAGATGACGGAAAACTAAGTTTAGTTTTTACTTTTTCACCGTATCATCTTTCCTCATTAGAGATTAACAACAGCCTTCCGTTATAACTGGATCCCTGGTATTACCCTGATCGCTGTTTGATTCTCATTATATTTTGATATAATGGTTCTCCTTATCGCTTACCGCTTACCGCTTTTCTGGAAAAAATCTGCGCATGAAGGATGAATCCTCATTGCTTTGAAGTTTTGTATAACTTTTTAATCAAAACCTCAACGTTCTGCTACTTTTTAATGAATAAATATTCCTGAAGAACGTCCTTAAAATAGATCCATGATGCAAGATCCATTTCATTGAGGTTGTCTTTAAAGTTAACGTCTTTTTGAATTGAATCAACACCTTTAATACATACAACGACACATAATTAATTACATTACAACATTGCAACACATATGTACGTGTTTCTAACCCATTTATAGATATTGCCACTATGTTTATTCAGTGACATACGCATTAAGAAACAATATTTACTGTCGGTAACGGGAAGATAAAATTCGCAATAATTGTCTAATATGTAATAGATGATTACAGTAATAGCCCATTCCTCAGAGAAAAAATAATAGCAAAAGCTGGGATAAAATAATCTTTATATGAAATTTTGCACAGAAGTAGGCTTTTGGTAGTAGAAAAGTATAAAGAAGTTCTCTAGGTTACCGTGGTTGCAACATGAAACAAAATGGCGTCAAACTCCCAAGAATTGTTTTTTTTTTTTAAATAACTTTTAAAACACGCAAAATAGAAGAAAATCGTGGAAATAAACATTAAGAAAATTATAACATCCTTCAATCTGAGACGGCCAGGCTGGCGAGCGATTTGTCGCGAGCGATAAATCGTTATTTTTGGGTACATTTATGAATTGTGAGGAATTAAAAATTTAATTTATTTTTATCTATATGCATTTTGAAAACAATGTCCTTTGAGGTGCCACTTATTGTAGTATGACCTTTTTGTTGTCTGGAAAAGTTGTTGGTCTGGAAAATTTGATCGCTTTAAAATATTTTTTATTTTTACAATACCCAAAAGTATGTCTATTTCATTTTAATATTTTAGTAATAGAATATAATCTAATTATATCTGTACTGAAAATATAATGTTATTTATATGCTACGTCAGGACTAAAATTCACTGATTTGGTTTTCATTTCGATGATAGGTTAAGCTAAATATACACAGAAACTTAAAAAAGTACTTAATAAATTTTATGTCTTCAAAATTATCCGAATAATATTGCTTCAAAAAGTTCACTTTGATCTAGTATGGTAGTAGGTATTAGGATACTTGAGCCAGACAGTACGTCATCAACATGGCGTCGGTCGTTAAGTATTGGATCTGCATTACCGGCAGGAAATTCAAATTGGCGGTGAAATTCAAATTGTACACCGGTTGGACCAGACAGTGACTAGGGATCTGCACCACTGACAGGAAATTCAAATTGACGGGGAAATTCAAATCTCAGGAAATTCGCAGCAATATAAAAGTCAAATTGAGCGGAAAATTCAAAAAGCCCTGTATCTACACTTCTCTACTAATACTTCTGTCACATAGTCAAATGATATTATTTATTTTATTACTATTATTTATTAAATACTATAGGAAATTCAAATTGGGGTGGAAAATCATGTTACCATAGAAAGGAAGCAGATAAACATATGAAACAATTAATTAATTAGCGATAGGTGTGTTAGGTTAGTTAGGTAAGTTAGATAATACATAATCGAGAAATTGTTGAAAATTGTTTATTGAACGAAGAATGAATCAAGTATACATAAATTCAATCAACAGAGAGATTGTCAATTTTTAAATACACATTTGGTACTAAGTAAATACATATGTAGAAAGGTATACAAGAGGTACACAAAAAAAAAAGTTTTCCGGTTTACAGAAAATATACTGATTACTATTTATACAAAAGCAAACATAGTTATAAAAATATATATAGTCACATTTAGGTTCTACATACCCTCTGATATATACTATATACAATATATATGTAGTTAAAAAAATAAATAATAATAATAATAAAGTGTATCGCTCACATAAATAATAATAATATTAATACATAAAGTGTAATAAAAATATGGCTACATACAGAATTTATCTTAATTACATACTATCAAACAAAACAATCTCGACAACAAATAATTCTAACAGCTTTTATATCCATAGGGAACAGAACTATGATCTTCAGCGAACTTTCTTTTCGTCGAGTTAGGTTTATAAATTTTAGTTTCAGTTCTTGTAACGACTTCATGCTCTTTTGTTCTTTGTATGTTGCTCGATGTAATATAAATAGGATCTGAGGGGGTTAAAACCATAGTCTTGATACTTTGGAAATTTATCAGTTGGGATGCAGCATAATTGAGCGATATGCCTTTAACCTTGCAAACAATTTCCTCTCTCTGATTACTAGTAGAGAAGACCTTATAAGCGTAGTTTTTAGGACCTCCAGACACAAACTCTGTAATAAAACTACCAGGTCCATACGTCTCGAGTTCATCAGTCATGTTGCCAATAAAGACTCCAGTGGGAAGATCGTATTCTCCCTCTCTCGAGACGTATATTACAGAGTCAGTGTCATAGTAGAGAACTTTATCACCTAGTTGTTCTAAGTAACTGTACAATTTTAAACGAGCCTGCGTGGTAACATAAGCAGCTAGCACTACATTGACCGTTGTTAGAGGGTTGGAGGCCTCCTCTATATACTCCCAATTAACTATTAATGTATTTTCTCCAACTGGAAGCACAGAGTTCACAGTGATGGAAGGATTTACCAACATATTGAAAAACTCGTTAGGATCATTAACAATACTTGTCTTTGGCTGATTTTCCCGCTGACCAAACTTTCCCCAAAACGAATTTAGAATTAACTTAGCCAATGAACGGAGACCTGAATTTTTTATAATTTCAGTAAACTCTAGCTGTACATCCTCATTTTTAAAAAAATCATCTATGTATTTTTCCCTTTCTTCCTTTGTGACACAGTTCCCAGGCCATCCGGACGCGTGCTGTTTTACTTTAATGTATTTGTTCATCATCTCAGTGAAGAGGCCGCCAACCTTATTGACTCTATCAAATCGGCATGTCTCGTAAGACCAAACTTCGTAAATTTTCAGTAACCTGTACCCCTTCTCGATAGCTTTCAAAATCTCATCCACCACCCACGTACCAGTAAATGCACGTTCTTCTTCATTATGTACACACTCTCCCTGACTCATTTGTTCTCCACATGTGCGACACAGAACAAACATGAGTTTATTGTTCATCTTTACAGGTAGTACGGGGTGATACAAATTTGTTGGAGGTAGTATTTTACATTTTATTTCTCCCTCTATAGCAGTAATATCTTGAGGGCAGTCATCGCCTACGAAAACTTTGGGATGGCCCACCGGAAATTTTCCATATTTACATACCCAGGGATACAGACTGCAGACATCTACGTATTTGATTTTTTCTCCTGAGCTACACTTATAATATTCAAATGTGTTCCCTGTACGTCCTCCGTAGAAAGCATCCCGGGGGTTTAGAGGTGTGGATACAAGCAAAGGGTGTTCATTGGCATATTCCTCTATTTCCTTATGGGATTTAATCTGTCTTCTAAATTCACACTCCCACATTTCTAAAACTTCATACCCTAGGTCTCTCAGTCTTTCTGTTTTAGCTACAGTAGACTCAAAGCGGAAATTTAATGTATCAGAAGGGTCTTCATGTAAAGGATCGTCACGCCTGTGTTTGAAACATGTGGGGCATCCATGATAATAGCAGCCATGGAACTCGAAAATCTGGTTAGTGTCAGGGCAGAAACCATCTACTTTAACTCCTTGGACTAGGGCCTCCTGCTGTTTGGAGGCGTGAATAATGTTAATGTTTTGTTTATGCTCCTCCCATATTAACCATTGGATAGCTACTTTTGACTGGTTATCTCTCCATCTGTAGCCGCGCTTTGGGATAATACCTATTGTATTTGGTCTTAAGAAATTGCGCCTGAACACCTTATTACACGCAGAGGCGATAGTACTTGCTTCGGTGAACGGGCAGACGTTTCCGGTTTCCATTAACTGTTGTCGAAATTTAAGACAAGCGGCTGTTAAAATTTGAACATCAGATATACAGTAATCGACCAGATCACGTTGCATATTGAACTCGTCATTTTTGTGTTCAGCATACCATGACAAGAACTTCTCTCTGTCTTCCTCTTTCATACTATCAGGGTCATAGAATTCTATAGCTGGCAGTGAACCGATGTAATTTTCATTTTCCGTTGTATTAAAGAAGTGAGGGAAGTAACCCTTTTTGAACCCATCTCCGAGTCCGAAAGCTTTTGGTAACTGAGAAAGCGCCATGGGGAAGCAGTTGAGTGAATCTAAAAATTTAATATTCTCCACCGTCATCATAATAATTTTTGTACCCCTCATAATGGGCTCAGGCTTAAGATCGGTTTTGGTAAGGATGTGATTCATTATAAACTGATGGTCAAACGCTTGTCCATTATGTGCTGTGACCACCACTTGCTTAAATATTTTCCTTTGATTTAAAATGTATTCTATAAATCTATTAACAGGGTTGTGTTTTAATATTTGTAATCTAGGACCACATTTATTACAAATCTCCATCTCTGTGTCTATACAAACATCACAGCATTGTTTGAAAACGCATAAGTTAGGCTTGTGGAGCAGGGACCCGTCTTCCAATACCTTTTCCTGCTGTGTCTCCAAGTCATAGAACATAAGGAGGGTGTCTTTTTGTTTTAGGTCTGTTAGCATCTACCTGTATATAACAGAAGTGATTGCTTGGAACATGGGTGTTGCATATTTTACAATAAATCTCTCCACAAGTGTG